TGAGGAAAAGGAACTTCAGAGAAGGAAAATGACTTGCCCAGGGTCACAAAGCCAATTAGTGTCCAAGGCAGGATTTGAATCCAGTCCCTCCTGACTCCAAGTCTAGCATTTTAGGCAGTAGGCCATGCTGCTTCTCATTAATAGCTAAATATTATTATCACTGCCTAGGGCACCAAGAAGAAGAGGTTAAGTGACTAGGCCAGAGATATACAGCCAGTGTATGTCAGAATCAAGACTTGAACCCATGTCTACCTGACTCTGAGGCTGACTCTATTCGCTACTGCCATGTTGCCTCTTATAGAGAAGGTACTTCTCTTTTTTTTTTGTTTTGTTTTGTTTTGGTGAGGTAATTGGGGTAAAGTGACATGCCCAGAGTCACACAGCTAGTGAGTGTTATGTGTCTGAGGCCAGATTTGAACTCAGGTCCTCCTGACTCCAGGGCCAGTGCTCTATCCACTGTGCCACCTAGCTGCCCCTAAGAAGCTACTTTCTAAGATGAATTTGCAGAGTAGGTACAGACCTGCCTTGGGAGAGGGAACTTCCTCACCAGGAACCCCTCTAAAGCTCACAGGCTTGGTCAAAATTAGATATCATCACTGATATCATCACCATCATCACCACCACCAACATCATCACCATCATCATCATCATCACCACCATCATCATCATCACCACCATCACCATTATCTTCATCACCATCACCATCATCACCATCACCATCATCACCATCATCATCACCACCATCATCATCACCATCACCACCATCATCACCACCATCACCATCATCACCACCACCAACATCATCACCATCATCATCATCATCACCACCATCATCATCACCATCATCATCACCATCATCATCATCATCACCACCATCATCACCATCACCATCATCACCATCACCATCATCACCACACCATCATCACCACCATCATCATCATCACCATCATCATCATCACCATCACCATCATCACCATCACCATCATCATCACCATCACCATCATCATCACCACCATCATCATTATCATCATCATCACCATTATCTTCATCACCATCACCATCACCATCATCATCATCACCATCATCATCACCATCACCATCATCATCACCACCATCATCATTATCATCATCATCACCATTATCTTCATCACCATCACCATCACCACCATCATCATCACCATCATCATCATCACCACCATCATCATCACCATCATCATCACCACCATCATCATCACCATCATCATCACCATTATCTTCATCACCATCACCATCATCACCACCACCAACATCATCACCATCATCATCATCACCACCATCATCATCACCATCATCATCACCATTATCTTCATCACCATCACCATCATCACCACCACCATCATCATCATCAAGGGCATATTTCCTTTGGCCGTGCTTTTTCTCTATCCTGGATAAGCCAGGAGCAGATGTAATTAAACCTTAGCAGCAGTTTCTCCCTAGCTCTGGACAATGACAAACAGCTCTCTGTTCTCCTTGTTTTCAGCAGTGAGTCATCCATGTCACACGGAGGTGAATAGACCCAGAAAATGAGACCCCAGGTGACAGTTTATTTCCAAGAATTAGTGTAGTCCCTACTCCATTATGTAAATGTGTGGGATACAAACACAAATAACATGTTTTTATTAGTGACCCATTTACAAATTAATGTGTGGATGACTCATAATGTGATGGACTAGAAGTAGAGAGAGAATAACTGACAAATGCTTAACAACCAAACCACTGTCATTTCCTGGAAAATCTCATAAGATTCAAATGAACATGTCATCCACCTGCCCTCAGAAAACGGCTAGCTCCATTGGAAATATACAAAATGAAAGGATGTTTTTCTCTACCCTCTGACAAATACTAACTATAATCTATAGCCCACTGAAGCTTCCACTGGCTTTTCACATTCAAGATGCCCTCTGAACTCTTTCCCTGGGGTCTTTGCCCTTTCTCTCTCCAAGTCATATTACATACCACTGCCAGATTTCTCCATCCCAAACCAAAGGATTGGCCACATTATTTCCCTACTCAAACCCATTTAGAAAACTCCTCTATGCCTTCCTAATATTCTGATATTCAGGCTTCCCACTGTCTTTCTAGATATTGAAAATGTTCCATTTTTCATACCTTTACTCCCATCATTCACCATGACTGGGACAAAGTCTACAGCACCATTAATCTCTACCTTTTTGAAATCCTACCCTTTCTTTAAGGCTCAGCTCAAATGGCACTTCTCCATCTTCCCCCCACCTCACAGGCAAGAATAGCTCCTCATCTTCCTCTTCTCCAACAGAACTCTACTGGTACTTCTTATCCATTTGCCAATATCCATTATATCTGTGTATGGGTTTTAGCACTCCTAATGGACTAAAAGCTCCTAGAAAGCAGGGTTGGTATTATCTTTGCTTCTCTGCAGACAGTAACAAGGCACTGCACATTAGTATGCACTTCATGGGCCAATGTGTGAATAAACCAGCAGCTTTTTCAAAAACTCTCAAATATATCTGAAGGAGGAATGAATCTTCCTCTATTTCTGAACAAGACCATGTTGTCTATTTGATAGGCCCCAGGACATGGATGGAGTACATCTAATAAGGGGTGGTAATAATGTGTATTCCTGTAGTCTTGAAAATCTAATCAAAAGAATAAGATGTAAAAGGGAATGGTTGGAGAAAATCTGCCTGCTTATATTCATCAAGTCAGAAACCATACTGACTATATGCAATGTATAGAAAATAGAGATTTACAACATTCAGTTCAAAGGAAACCAAATACAAGAAAAGAGCCACTAATTAATCCCATGGCCTCACCATCTACATACAAACGCACAACGTATGGACAGCAAGCAAAATGACAGAAACTCTAATGCAAGGAGGAAACTCTGATATCACAGATAGTAGCAAACCTTGGTAAGATGAGACCATGACTGGATTTTGGCTCTGGAAGGATTTGTTGTGGTGGTAGTGGGGGGGGTTGCTGAATCAGTTTCCATCATTTCCAGCTTTCCGTGACCCCATTTGGGGTTTTCTTGGCAGAGACACCAGAGTGGTTTGCCATTTCCTTTTCCAGCTCATTGTACAGATGAGGAACTGAGGCAAGCAGGGTTAAATGACTTGCCCAGAGCTACTCCGATAATAAATGCCTGAGATTGGATTTGAAATCAGGTCCTCCTTACCCCAGGCCTGGCGCTCTATACCGCACCACCTGGCTGCCCTTCCTGTCTGGAATGATAAACCTTATTTAAAAGAAACAGGAGAGGTTAAAAGAAGGTGATGAGAAAGGTGGCTTTTCAGGTAAAGATATATTCATGTGAGCAAATCAAGGCACCATAGCCAAGGAATCACAGTGGAGATTATCTGGCTAAAGTTAAACAGGAGCAGATTCAGAAGTGATACGGGTATTAGCATATACTACAGACCATGGGCATGGGAATGAGAAAGAGATGAGTTCTACAGGGCACAGTAACAACGTACTTGATAATTTAAGTCATCTAGTCCAGGTGAACTATATTCTGGGGTCTTCAAAACAACCTTGCAGCTATGGCCAGGCCACTTTCAGAGATGACCAGGTGAAAGACCAGGCAGAATAAGACAGTGACCACAGAACTGGAGAAGAGCAAATGTCTCAATTATCTCTTTAAAAAATGGAAGAAAATAGCATCTTCACACAACAAACCTGAGCTTGTCATCAGCTTCAGCAAATTTCTGAAGAGATTATTAAAGGGACTGTTAGTGAAAATCCAGGAAAGAGCCAGGATCTCTTCCCCAACAGTTCAATGTGGAAGACAAGAGATGTCACTGCTGCCTCAGGACATGTTAAGAGGAGCACAGGGATGAGGACCAGGGAGGAGACAGACCTGATGCCTTTGAACAGGCCAGACCCCACTTCAAGCCTGTGATCACTTCTGGGCACCGTATTTTAGGGGAAAACCCAAAAATATTGATAATTTGTCAATTGTCCAGATAATCAGAAGAGTGAAGTACCTTGAGCCTGTGCATTTCAAGACCCAGCTAAAGAAATAGGGATGTTTAGCCTGGAAAAGGAAAGACTTAGAGGGGGAGGAAAGACCTGTCTTTGAGAACTCGAGGGACCATCAGGTGGAAAGGGGTGGGCCTTGTGTTTCTTGGTCCACGAGACAGAACCAGAAGCCACGGGTGGAAGTTTCAGAAGCAAATCTGGGCTTAAGGATAAGGAAAAACTCCCGACAAATAGTGATGACACAGAGGAGAATAAATGTGCTGTGGATTTCCCCTTATCGGATGTCCTCTAGGAAAGGTGGCATGCCCCCCTCCTTGGGGAGGGGGTGGAGGAAATTCTCTGTCAGCCATGATCTGGGCTGAGGCAGCCTTGAAGCTCCCGTCCAAAGCTGGGAATCTGTGCTGTTTCAAAGCTAAAAGTCATATACCTACTGTTTGCCATGAAAGGACCTCAATCATTTCAGAGTCTAGCACATTCCAGACCAGGCTCAAAGCTACCAAGCTGAAGAGGGTTCAATTAAATTCTACTATATAATGAGGATCAGGGAAAAGAAAATAGTTATGTTGGGTATAGATAAAGGTCAGGAAGTAATTTTTCTCTCTTTTTTTTAAAGTTGGATTTCCCTTAGGTTAAAAACCCCAATCCACTTCCCTGCCCCCTCCCTGACCCCCACCTCCAGCCCCCTGTCCCAGCTGGAACTCCTCTGCTACTTTTCATCCATTTTTACATATTCACGATATAGTATTTCAGTATCAAGTGATGGCAATCAGGATTCATTTATTTTAATTTGCCAAATGTTATATTCTGATGATTTCCCACCAGGCTGTTGAGCCCTGTTTTTAAGCAAAGAAAGTCACAACTTAGCTGATGCCAAGATAGATGAACCCCAGGAAGCCGTTGTTTGGTTCCAAATTGGGTTTTCTCGCCCTCTTGATTTGTGCCTCCCCACGTAGCAGACAGAAAGGAGAAGCAGCTGAGTCAGAGAGCAGTGGGTGACTTACAGGTCACAGTCGTCCCCCCTCGATGGGCTGAGCGGCACCAGCTGCAGCAGGAGGCGAACTCCATTCTGCCATTCTTCGGCCCTTTCATATTCACAGTACAGGTAGCTGCATTCATCTGAGGAAAACTGGTAGAAAACGTAGGTGTCCTGGAAATACAGCTGCTGGTCCACTGGGAGAAACAAAGAGGGATCCATTAGTTCAAAAATCTACCCAGGCTTCCTTTCTTTCTCATGTCATAGACACAGGGACACCCGGATGTATTTTTCTTTTTAAACGCCAGGCCTCCCAACAGGGCTGTCTTTTCTCTTTAAACTTCAAAGCTACAAGGATCTGTGAATAACTCCCTCCTCAGATGCAGTTGCAACCCCTCTCTAACTTAGTAGACAGTCTTTGAGAGTTCCCGGGATCACCGATTTCGAGATGAAATGGACCTTCGAGGTCAGCTAGTCTAACCCCCTCCATTTCTAGATGAGGAAGAAAAGAACTAATGAGACGGAGGCTGGAAAGTACCCTGAGAAGCCATCTAAACCAATCCACCATCTGACAGATGAAGAAACTGAGGACCAGAGAGAAGCCATTTGCCCAAAAATGCACAGATAAGAAGGAGGAGAAGGAAAGCTGGAACACAGGTCCTCTGAGCCCAGAGCCAACTCTTCTTATTACAGCCTACGTGTGCAAATCCTGCCCAGCGGCGGTGACCTGAACCAGTCATTCACTTTCAGATTCTGTTTCCATATCTGTAAAATGGGGATAATAATAGCATCTACCTCACAGATGGTTATGAGGATCAAATGAAATAATTGTAAAATGCTTTCTGGTGCTATAGAAATATTAGCAATTATTACTATGTGGCATAAAAATTCAGCATCTTACAATAATAACGGACAGTTACATAGGACTTCATTTAGATGCTTTCATTCAAGCCTGATACTACAGATGTGAAAAAAGAGGCAGAGGGAAAGTGATATTTGCCTCTGGTCACATAGCCAGTAAGTGTCAGCCAATGAGCATTTATTAAGCACCTACTGTGTATGTGAAAGGTGAGATTCAAACTTAAGTCTTCTGGCCTTTAGGCTGCCTCTCACCCTATAGCAGAACTGGGCACTAGTAGCCTGCCCCGGCTGAGCTTCCCACAAGCTTCCTTGCCCCTACCTAGGCTGGACTTAGACAACTGTCCATTACCAGAGCCCTGCTCAAAGGCTTCCCAGATTGGTCAGACCAGCAAGAATACACGTTCTCCCAGGGCCCCTCTCAGGCCTCCAAGGAAACCATGTTCCTCTTCTCTACGCTCTCATTTTCACAGGCAGATTTCCCTAAGTTTTCTGTGCTTGTTGCAACTCTTTCAACGAGCTAGGCAAACAGAAACAACAGGAAATGAACCTAAGAGGGAAGGAAAAGCGGAAATGACTCAAAAACAAGGAAAGCATCTTATGGACTCTACAGGACAGGTCCAAGGTTTAGAGACAAGGCCTCAGGTCATCAAGACTGAGCCCTGTTCTGCCTGCTGGACTTCAAGAAACACCAACTCTTTCAGATGCCAAACAGCAGTCAGTTCCATTTTCTAAAGGCGACCATGAAGGTTTTAAAAAAATGTCAATATACTTCAATTCAATAGATTAACAAATGTCAGGCACTGCGCTAGCCCCCAGAGACACAGCACAGCAGAGTAGAAAGAACACTTTCTCTGCAGTAAGAGACAGTCCTGACCCTGACAGGCGTGGCATTAGGCAAGACATTCAACCTCCTGGGCCTCAGTTTCCTCATCTGTAAAAGAGTAAATGGCTTCTGAGCTCTCTTCCAGATCTAAAGCTACGACCCTACAAAACCAGCCCCTGACCTCAAGGAGCTTCCATTCTGCTTGGACACAAGTAAAGAGAGAAGTAGATGGAAGATATTTGGGGTGGAGGAGGGGGATAGGCAAAGGTCCCTGTGTAGGCTGAAGGGACTCAAGCGGAGCCTTGAAGGACTTTAGGGATACCAAGAAGAGGGGGAGCAAGCCTGGCAAGAGGAAACAGCCTGTGGAAGCGTGTGGAGGTGGGAGACGAGATATCGACTAGCAGGAACAGTGTTAGTTCATTTGGAACACAAAGTATCTAAGGGGAAGTAACATGTAGCCAGCCTGAGAAGCTGGGCTGGAGCCACACTGGGAAGGTCGCATTGTATCCAGGCTCTCAGTTTCACCATCTCGCTGGAGGGTAACAATCAACCCCCAGGGCTTCAATATTCCCATCTAAAGCCAAGGGGCCGCCTTGGGCAACATTAGAGAAAGAATCCTCATCTCCTGCAATGGAACCCTTCCTTCCCCATCCCCACCCTGCCACGCCACAGGAACTGGTATCAATCACTTCCAATTTAGCTGCCAAGGCTCCCCTTTCAAATGTAGTGGGGTAACTGGGAATTGGGGAGTCCTAAGTCCAGTTTAAAAGGAAGCAAGCTTTCTCACCATCTGACAAACCAGTCTCTGGAAACAACTACAAACCAGTCAGGAAAAACCACAAATATATAGTAATTCGAGATGTCCCTGGTTTAAAAAAAACTATAAGAAAACAAACAAACAAAAAAATCAGTGTGGGAGTGTCCCAGGAAGGGGAGAGAGGACTGGGAACAGAACAGAGCCTGTCCTCTCTGAGACAGGACCTGTCTCAGAAAAGACTGCCCCAACACCTCGACCATCTCCATGGCATGAGGAAAACAAAGACATTCATGGTGGCGCAAGGGGGGAAATTGCCAATACAAATGAGGCGTGCTCAGCTTCTGCCCATTTTATAAAGGGGGCAGGGTTTGGCTTGGTAAGGCCACCTATTGCTGATCAATAAATATATCAATGCTGGAGTAGTGGATAGAGCCAGTCTCTCCAAACCAGGAACAACTAGGTTCAGGTCAAACTTCTGACCCACACTGGCTGTGTGACCCTGGGTAAGTCATTTACCTACCTCAGTGCCCCATGAAACTCACTAAGATTATAGGGTGCAGACAACAAATAAAAGGTACAGACCTGAACTGATGGAAGGAGCCTCCCAAATGGGGATGCCATACACTGATGAAGTCACAGGCCCAATAAAGAGAAAGGACAGTGAAATCAGAGATACCGAAGTGCTGGTTTTAGGACACAAACCTGAGAGAATGATCCCCATGTCCAGAAGTAGCTGCCACACGCCAACAGCCATGGAGCGACACTGAACGAAAGGACAGTTCTCCAAAAGCCAGTCCACGAGCTCGGATCCCACACAGCTCCTCCTAGACAAACACAGGACAACGGCAAATGACTCTGAGAGGAGCAAAGTGTTGAAATGGCCTTAGCATAAAGAGGCAGGAAATAGCCCCAGCATCCCGGGCCCGAGGCAGACCCCAGATGGGTCACCGGGCTCAGGCCTGGGTCTCACATTGCAGGCAAGACACTGATCTACTGGAAAGGGTCCAGAAGGGGATGAGCTTGATATCGATGGAATTAAAACCCTTTTATTCAAGGAGGAGTTGGAGGGGAGTGCTAAGGCTGGAGACAAGTCTCGTATCCGAGCTTCTGATTTGGAACTGGCAAGGACCACAGCGGGCAGCTAGTGAGACTCCTTTCATAGATGAGGCAAGTGAGGGTCAGCAGGAATGGGGTGGAGGGATGAGCTGGATTGAGGGGCCTTAACATGGGGTCCACAGACTGCTTCACTGTGGAGGGATTTCAGGAAGTTCATGAACTTGGACGGTGAAAAACTCTTCATTTTCACTCAACTCTAACTGAAACCCAGCATTTCTTTCAATTAGTTAAAAACATAAATGTGAGAAGGGATCCAGAAGGGTCACCAGATGCCAAAGGGGTCTGTGGCACAAAACAGGTCTAGACTATCACCCTAAGCAACCTCCTAATGTTGAGATTCCACAACCCTACGATAACGACACTGACCCAGATCTGGTAGGACATGAACTCCGAGGTATCCTACCACTGTGGTCAGGGGCGAACAGATCTCGTGGTGGAAAAGACCTTCAGGGATGTCCAGTCTGGTGCTCTTATTGGACAGATGGAAAACAATTCAAGATTGTAAATGACCTGCTCAATTTTACACAGCTAGTGAGTGGCAAAGGGGCCATTTGGACCCTGGTCCTCTGACTCCCAACCTGGCCCCTCCCACTGTAGCGCACTATCTCTCACTTGGAATACTCTTCCTCCTCCTCTTCCTCCTCTTCTTGTTCCTCCCCTTGTTCCCCCCCCCTTCTTTTCTGCCTCCTAACTTTCCAGGCTCCCTTCAAGATTCAGCTCAAATCACACACATATACACAGTGCATGCGTATATGTGTCTACATGTACATATAGTACATGTGTGAAATGCGTATATGTGATATATATGTAATTAATAATTATATAATATAACATAGATGACTATATTACAGATACAGATATTACGTCATTGTTTTCATGTTCTCTTCCCTGTTAGCATTTAAGCTCCTTGAGGGCAGAGGTGATCTTCACCTTTCTTAGCTCCCCAGTGCTTAGCATCATCCTTGGCACTGAGTGAGTACCTGTTGACTGAATGACTGACAACCTCCCTGTGCCTCAGTTTCTTTGTCTATAACATGAGAGGGATGCACTCCAAGGCCTCTTCTGGCTCTCAGTCTATGGTCTACGAGCTGTGAAAATTTGAAAAGTAGAACTTACAGCCATTGAAAGAGTCAACCTTATAGTCAGTGGAAAGGCCTGGGAGGCTATGAAGACTATACATAACAAATCTCCAACACAGGAGGCCTGTATGGGGTTATAGTTTAGAACTTTGGACAAAGCATCTCTAAGAGGCAAAGCAAGGGTGCTGGAAAGAGTGAATGAAGGACCTGGAGTCACAAGAAACCTGGATTTGAACCCCACCTCCAACACTGATGAGCTGTGAGACCTCAGCCTCAGTTTCCTCATCTGCAAAATGGGGATGATAAGGATGCCTATGAAGATGACAGCACCTCCCTCCCAGGGTGGTGGGGAGGTAACAATGAGATAACAGCTATAATGTGCTTTAAAAGCTTAAAGCAACTTCTCTAAATGAGAGCCCTGATGATAACAATGATGCTCGACCTGGTGAGTTACCTAGATGTTAACAGTGACTCCACAAAGAGCAATCAGTTTAAAGATTTCAAAACACAGACAGCAGAAGACCTGTGAGGAGCCTCCAGGGTTCAGTGGTGAATTAGCCTGATAATATAATGAAAAGCATTCAATTTGGAGTCAATTTGTCAGCCGAGATTCATTAAGTGCTTACCATGGACGCATCCTTGTGATGAGTAGTGGGGATACCAAGAAAGGCAAAAACAGTCCTTATTCTCAAAGAGATTACACTCTACTGGAAAAGACTACACATACATCAATAGGCACATATCCAATGCCTACGGAGTCGATGGTGGGCTATCTTAAAGGAACAGGGGACGGCTGGAATCAGGGAGAACGCTGTTCAAATCTCAGTTCCCAGCTGGGTGACCCTCGGCAGGTCACTCAAGCTTCCTGGGCTTCAGTTTCCTTCCCTGTAAATGGAGCTCATAAAACCTGTAGCACTAGCCTCACAGACTCATTGTGAAGATTAAAAGAGACAATGTGTATGAGCATTTTTTAAATCTTCAAACCATCTGTGGATGTCAGCAATTATTATTATTGTTGATACAAAAATTCTAATAAGCACTGTTAAAAAAAAAAACAACCCTGGGGCTTAGCAAGCATTCTCACAGAATAAGGATCCCTTGCTGATTATTTCTTTTTAAAAATATGTTTTTAATCATATGAAAAAACACTCTAAATCACTACAGAGTAGAGAAAGTCTAATTAAGACAACTCTGAGGTACCATCTCACACCTATCAGATTGGCTAATATGACAGAAAAGGGAAATGATGAATGTGGGAGAGGATGTGGGAAAATTGGGACACTAATGCACTGTTGGTGGAGTTGTGAACTGATCCAACTATTCTGGAGAACAATCTGGAACTATGCCCAAAGGGCTTAAAACTGTGCATGCCCTTTGATCCAGCAATACTACTGCTAGGTCTGTATCCCAAAGAGATGAAAAAAAAGAGGGAAGGACATATTTTTACAAAAATATTTATAGCTGCTTTTTTTTTGTGGTGGCAAAGAATTGGAAATTGAGGGGATATCCATTTACTGGGAAACAGTTGAACAAGTTGTGGTATATGATTGTGATTGAATATTACTGTGCTATAAGAAATGACAAGGATGCTTACAAAACCTACAAAAACGTTTACAAACCAATGCAAAGTGAAGTGAGCAGACCCAGGAGAACAGCGTACACATTAATAGCAACATCATACTTAGCTACTCAGATCAAGGCAATGACCCAAGATAATTCTGAAAAATGCTGCCCACCTCCAGAGAAAGACCTGATGGAGTCTGAATGCAAATTGAAGCCGACTATTTTTTCACTTTATTTTTTTTTGTGGGGGCTTTTTGGTCTATGTTTTCTTTCACAACATGACTAATATGGAAGTGTGTTTTGCATGACTGCACATGTATAACCCATATCAAATTGCTTACCATCTCAGGGAAGGGGAAGGGGAGGGAGAGAATTTGAAACTAAAAATTTTTTTAAACAAATGTTAAAAATTGTTTTTACAGGCAATTGGGAAAATAAAATATTATTTTAAAAAAGTTTGATTGAGGTCTTTTCTTTTTTTACATCATCATTGTTTCCCCTAGTATCCTTCCCTAATGACCTCCCAGAGAGCCATCCCACAGGACAAATACCATTTTTAGAGACCAAGAAAGAAAAAAAAGAGGGAAAAAATCAGCATAACTGACCGATACATCAGTATAAATACTAGCTATCATTAACATAGCCAAAAAGTCTGAAAATATGTACAATGTGAGACACTATGGACCTCCCACATCTGCAGGGGGGTTGGGTAGGAGTGTCCTCTCATGTCCTTCTTCCCAGTCCTGCTGCTTCTTTATAATTTTGCAGCGTCGACTTTGGAAGGTTTTTGTGACTGCTCTTTCCACTTCATTCTTACAGTCGTGTATATTGTCTTTTGGCTCTGCTCAACCCCTGGACAAATCTTTTAACCTCACTGAGTCTCATTTTCCTCATATATAGAATGAAGATGTTGGACGAGACAGTCCCTAAGGTCCCCTCCAGCTCCAGATCTTGGCTCCTATTATCCTCTAACATAGACACGTCTTGAGACTTTGAAATAGCAGATGTTCATTCTGAGTCAGGAGGAAGCACCCAGGCACGTTAGGCATCAGCATTCTGCACAGGTGAGTGAGTGGCTAAATTATCCAGCTAAGGTGCTTGGGAGCCAGCCTCCAACTTGTGCTACTGAGGAAATGTAGTGTTTGACACATAGATTATTTCAAAGTCTCCCAGATGAAGCTGTTCTGCAAGCAGACTGGCAATGTGGCTTTTCAATTTATTTGTGGAGCTCACAGTAATGGGAAACACGCTATTCCTTGCCATCGTGTTAGCAACTTGTGTCTCTGTCCGCAGAAGAAAAAACCATTTCTGGCAGATCGCCAGGGATCTGAAATAGAAAGCCGCCTGCTCTCCGCCCCATCTCCCACCTCCAGGAGCAGGTGGGGTGTTTCATGCATCACTTGTCTCCTCCAAGATCCTGACTCATTTCTATTTTCTCAGCTTCTTCCAGGAGAAAAAATAACTTCAGTCTATCCCCCCCTGGAGATATGAGGAATAAAACTGAGAGCTGCCACAGGCACTGAGGCTGCAGGCTCAGGTTGATGTGGTGAGACTGAGTCAACTCACTGCCAGGGCCCACAAAGAACCAGAAATAGGCCCTGCTCTAGATGGAGACCATAATAGTAACAACAACATTAACTGACATCTAGAAATCACTTCAAGTGCTCATATTCTCTTATCTAAGCCTCATAATAATCCTGGAAGGGAGGTGCTACTATTATCATCCCTGTTGTGCAGGAGAGTTTAAGTTGCTTGTGTTCACATGCACTGTGAACTGTGTCAGAGGCAGGATTTGAACCCAGGTCTCCCCTGACTTCAAGACCAGCCCTCTTTCTATTCCATCATGCCAGCTTCTCTATACAGCAGAGCCAGATCTAGCTGCTTACAATATTATTTCAGTGCTGATTATTTCAAAAGACCAGGTGCAGGATGGGAAGTTTTGGTCTAAGAATCTACCTGTAATATTTTTAAGAAGATAGAATTCTGTACAGTTTTTATGCTAGTGTCTCTAGAGATACTGCAAACTTTAGTCTAAAATAACAAATGAATCTAATAAGATGAAATTCAAAAGATATAAATGTAAAGTAATGATCTGGGGATCTTAATGGACTGCAAGACCCATCTGAATCAAAGAATATAATATAGTGGCCATAAAGCTGAAGGAGATTTGGGGCTGCATTGAGGCACAGAATCTAGGACTAAGGAAAGGAAAATCCCAATGTATTTGACCTTGGTTAAAGTACTGTCTGGAGTTCTGGGTTCCACTATTTAAAAAGGACATTGATAAACCAGAGGCAGCCAGAGGTGGGCTACAGGATAATGAAAACTCAGATGTTGGTGCCTCATGGAGATCAGTCAAAGGAACTGGGGATGTTCAGGATGGAGGAGAAAAGACTGGGGTGAGGTGAGGGAGGGCAGGGGGCATGACAGCTTGGTAACGTATAAGGATGGGAGAGGGGTGATCAAAAAAGTCACCATTATAGTCTCAAACAAAATTCCCTACACCCCTATACCTTTATCCAATTGGAACACCTCTTGGATTGAGTTCTATAAGCAACCAATCAAATGTTTAAGGTAGGTGCGAACACAAGGAGTGTCCTGAAATTGGTTGAAGGGTCACATCCTGTGGGCCTTGGACAAAAACCTCCAACTGGAGTGTGTGCTAACTCTCACTTTTAGATCATCTTGGTAAAAGCTCATTTCTAAAAGCTAATTAAGTCTGGCTGGCTAATTGATATCAAGTAATGATCAATGGGGAGAATATTGATGGGGACTCACAAGCAAGCTATTCTCAAATCCCCAATCCTTCTGAATTATCCCTAAGAGCCCTGCAGGGAACAGTATTTAGCTACCCTCTGTGAACCTGACCTGCTGGTCTGGGTGGGCTTGGAATAATGAATCCCAGAGCCTATACTACCAAAGAATTTAGAAGGCTGTCACATGGAGGAGAAATTAGGCATGTCCTGTTTTATTCAGAAGACACAGATAGAATAAGTAAAGGGACAGATTTGGATTTGATCTCAGGAAACACCCCCTAACATTAGAAATACTCAAAACTGGCCAAGGCTGTCTAAGGAGTAGATTCGGCCTCACTGGAGGCTTCAAGCAATGTTTAGATAAGCAAGAGCATTATCTATCTGTATCTTCAAATAAAGATGTGACGGGATGGCCTTTGGGGCCCTTCTAACTCTCAGGTTCTATGATCCTGAGCATCTAGCCTTCCAAAGAGCTTCCAATACACAGCACAGCACAGTTCCTGGCCCACAGAAAGCACTTAATCCATGTTTGCTGATAGTTGAGTCTATTGGGGAGCCAGTAAATCCTGGGGTATGTGTGGATGACAGAATGTGAGCTGAGGAGAGTTCCAGTAGAGGTAAGAGTGGGCCTTCCCTCAGATAGTCCCCTCCCAGTATGTACTGAAGGCGAATTTGGCCAAAACCCTAATTTGAGTCATAAACTTCATGTCCCTAACAGACCTGCTCTGAGCACATGGCCAACTGAGGGAACTCAAAAGTCACCCACCACATATTCCATGTTCAAACATTTGCTGAGTGTCTGCTTATTCACCAGGCACTGCCCTAGGTACTGGAGATAAAAAGACAACCACGAATCAGGCCCCCGCCCTCATGAAGCTTATGTTTGATTCGGAAGATCCAGTGAATATACTGATAAGTAAATGTAAAGGAACAAAGTAATCTCAGAGAGAGAAAACATACTCATATCTGAGGAGCCCAGTCAGGACAGGTCTCAGATAAGAGGTAGCATCTGAAGTGTACTTTGAAAGAAGTTGGGGATCCTAAAGGGGCAGCTACAGCACCATAGTGCATAGAGGACTGGGACTGGAGCCAGGAAGATCTTCTTTCTGAGTTCGAATCCTGACTCAGACACTTACTAGTTGTATGACCTTGGACAAGTCACTTAACCCCATCTGTAAAATGAGTTAGAGAAGGAAATTGCAAACCACTCCAGTAACTCTACCAAGAAAATCCCAAATGGGGTCATGAAGAACTGGACACAAGTGAAAAATGACTAGACAACAGCAAAAAGTATGCTCAAAGGTTGAGGTGAGTTAGTTAAACATTGCAAGCCCAGGGTTGGCCCCCGCGACTCCTCCTGAGCCCCACCTGGCCAGAAAATGAGGTAATGATTTTAGACAGACATTTTCAAGAGAATAATCATCAATGGGGTTACCTGTAAACACCCTTAAGGTTCACTCTGTCTTTTATCAGGTCAGATGCTTGCACCGTAAAGATATTCCTCAGGGCTCTCCCGGCGCAGGAAGAATTCTCTCCATAAATCTATGGGAAAAAATGAATAAAAGACTTTAAACGCAAGGCCAAGTTCTACTAGTCAAATAGTCACGATGCAGCATACACAAGAGTGCTAAACCGCTGCTCCTGTGTGTGTGTAGACATTGACCACCTTGAGCACATCTCTTTGACATTGGCCAATTCATGCTATTTTATGTAACTGGATGCAAATTACTAATGCTTTGATTTTTTTTTCACATGCCAAAAGCAGTTTCTCATTGAATTCATCAGAGTTAAAGGAGGCAAAGATTCCCAAAATAAGGATCTAGGTGTGTCACTATCCCCTGCTCTGGTAAGACCCTACATGGAGCAAGATATTCAGTCTTAGGTACCCTGTATTGGGAAGGATCACCTCAAGCTGAAGAGTATTCAGCCGAGAGCAAGCCAGACAGTGAGGGGCTCCAAGATCATACCTAACAACAACTAATAGCATTGATATAAGGCTTTCAGATTTGTAAAGCACCTTCCATAGATTAGCTCATTTCAGCCCAACAACTCTGGGAGGGAGGTGCTATTGTTACCCCCACTTTATAGAGGAAGAAACTGAGGCTGAGAAAAGTTAAGGAATTTGCCCAGGATCACACAACTGGTAAGTGTCTAAAGCCAAATTTGAACCTAGATCTTGCCCATTATCCATTTCAACCACCAGTTACCTTAATATGAGGATCTCTTGAAAGAACTGGGGACGTTTAGTGTAGATGAGAGAAAATCAAGGTGCGTGTCGTGGGGGTGGAGAAGATACATTAAGTATGTTCAAGTAGTTGAAGGGCAGAAGATAGATTAGATCTGTTTTCTTTCACCCCAGAGGGCAGAACTAGAAGAAATGGGTGGAACCTGCAGAGAGGCAAGTTTCAATTCGATACCAGGACAGTTTTCCTAACAGAACCATCCATCAGCAGAATGAACCACAGTGGGGTGGGGGTCCCATTCACTGGAAGCCTTCCAACAGAAGCCAGATGATCATTTGGGAGGAATGCACGTGGAAGGAATTCTCATTCAGGGCTAAAGTTAGAATCCATGGATGCTGAGCCAGACCCTTACAGCTCTGTGATTCCAAGATCCCTCTTCCTTTTGCACAATCAAGTTTCTCATAATTCTACTTTCTTAATCTTTAAAGGAAAGCAGTGGCTGCCTGCTTTACTAGAGAAAGCCAAAGTGTAGCAGGATCCCAAAATGCCTCTGCCCCATAGTCACACACATACATGTGCCTGCCTCTGGAGATCTGAGGGGACTGTTTGTCCCTGGCTGGGTGAACACCTTATATATGGACACAGAGTTGGAACATTCCTAAATCTATAGCAGGGGGTGTTCGGACCCACACTGGGAACTTCTCACAGCTCATCTGTTCCCAGCATGGCACCAGCAGGAGCTCATCTAGCTCGTGGTCTCATCATCAGCTGATTCACTAAATGATCCAGAATGTCATTGCTTTGTCTCGTCTTCCTCTCAAAACACCCTTTCCATATCATTCGTGTTCTTTGGCACAGATCTGTAATTCTTTTTAATCATGCAAAAAGCTATGCAAACATCTAAGAGCTACTCACACATGTTGTAGTTTTGTTCACTTTTAAAATAAAATTCTAGTTGTTTGGAAAACCCCATTTGCTGGATTTCTCTCTGCCTAAATGGGGGGGGGGAGAGAATAGATGCCCCTGCTCTTTATCCAAGTTGAAGGATTTCATTGTATTTCTTACCTCCCAAGTTCCAGAGGAGGGGACACAGATGCAAGATTTGCTCTTTTTTCTTGAAGGATAACTGTATTTTTTATTCTGTTTTGATTGGGGGAGGTTCCTTTTTACATAACCAAGTTCTAGGAACACAACCCAAATGCCTCTGAACCAGCTCCTGATCTGGCCATTTGCCGATTTGGTGCATATGCCCACTTTAGCCACCAGTCAATCAATCAACGAACGTTTACTAGATGCCAACATGTGCCAAGAAGTGGGGACTCAAATACAATGAGTCCTCACCTTGGCCAAGTCCTCCATTTATTTATTTAAAACATGCAATGTTTGAATGTCTCTGATCATAAAACTCTGAGAGATCCATGTCGATGCAGCCACCCACACTTTTGCTCCTCTGTCCCAGGTACAATTAGGTAGGACTTGTGTTCTTGTGGTTGAGGAATCACCTTGTTCCCTTCTTTGCTGAGGTGGGGGCTAAGAGTATGGAGCACGACATACAATGCTGGACTTGGCCGATGCACTGACTAGTTTTTAATGAACTGATTTTTTTCTCTTCTATATTCTTTGTTACAAAGGACATCTCTCAGGGAGGGAGAGAAAGGACAGACGTCCTAGGAAATGAGTGATTTTTAAAATTGGCATCTCTTTACAAATGTCATGAGGGGTTAAGGAATGGCAAAGAAGACCATTCTGTTGATGTTGTTGATGATGATGATGACGATGATGACGATGACGATGATGACGACGATGATGATGATGATGACGATGACGATGATGAAGACGATGATGATGATGATGACGATGACGATGACGACGATGACGATGATGATGATGACAACGATGATGATGATGATGATGACGATGACGATGATGATGATGACGACGATGATGATGATGATGATGACGATGATGACGACGATGATGATGATGACGATGATGACGATGATGATGACGATGATGATGTTTCAGTCACATCTGACTCTTCATGACCCATTTGAGGTTTTCATGGCAAAGATGCTGGGGTGGGTTGCCATTTCCTTCTACAGTGGATCCATTTTGTCAGACAATCACCACCAGGCTAGGAAGTGTCTGAAGGCTGGATTTGAACTCCTTCTGACTCCAGACCTAGTACTCTATTCACTGAGCCACCAGCTTCCTCGAAGGAAGACCACAGATTGTCTTTATGAATCACTGTTGCTGTAACACGTACAAAACCCCTTCAGAATTTCAAGGCCAACATTTTGGTAATGAGCTCTCTGAACTTACCCTGGCAATTCAGTTCAATTCAACATGCATTTATAGAGCATCCACTGTATATTGAGCACTGGAGATACAAAGCCACAAACCACTCCCTGCCCTCCAAGAGCTAACATTCTATGAGGAGGAAATAATGAGCGCAGTGTAGAAGTGAATACAGAATTATTGGGATAAGGACTAGAATTGTCACTTCAACAACACAGAAAATTCAGACATGAGCAAACACCTCCTGCCAACATGGGAATGTTCCTACTTTGTATCAGAGTCTCTGATAGCCACCAGGAGCTTTGGAGCCGTGCTTCTGAGAACTGCTCCCGCCACATAGAAAGTGCTTACTAAGTGTTGGTTGGCTGACTGCGTGCAGGGCACCAGTGACAGTCCAGGACAAGAATGCAGGAGTTCCTATTAGAACTCTGAGCTCCTGGAGAGCAGGGGGTGTTCACCTTGCTTTGTACCCCTAGAGTGGCACAATGCCTGCCACTGTAGGGGCAGTTAGGTGGTGCAGCGGATAGAGCACCAGGCCTGGAGTCAGGAAGACCTGAGTTTAAATCCAGCCTCAGACATACTAGCTGTGTGACCCTGGGCAAGTCACTTTACCCTATTTGCCTCAGTTTCCTCACCTGTAAAATGACCTGGAGAAGGAAATAGCCAAGAAAGCATCAAATGGGGTCACAAACAGTCAGACACATGTGAATGACCACAACAACTACCACACAGCAGTTGCTTAATAAATGCTTGTTGACTGGCTGATGTTAGCTCTTTAACCACTATGATAATCTTTCACACGTACACCAAATATACACAGAGTAATGTTTTTGGTGGCCTGCACTTCTCCTCACTGTCTATTACTGGCCCCTGCTTGAAGCCTTTCCAGCAGCATGATGTGATAGCTTAGAGCTTCGGGCTTGCAGTCAGGAAGACTTCAAATCCTGCCTGAGTCCCTTAGGAGCTGTAGGATCCTGGGCCTCAGTTTCCTCTTCTGTCAAATGAAGAGGTTGGACATGGTGACCTCTAAGACCCTTCCCAGTTTTTGCTCCATGGCCCCACAGCCCTGGGTCCTGCCAAAGTTTGTTTTCCACTAGCCTTACCTTCAAGAATTCACAGCCACCTCAGAGACTCTGTGGGGCTGATCCTGGTGAGGGAGGATAATGTCACCCAAGACAAAAATGACCTTTATCTCTTGTCTCCCAGGGGGGTTCTGAGGCTGACTTAGAGGGAATGGTAACACCTTGGCATCTAAGGGCACCAGGATAGATAGTACTGGATTCCCATGCCTGTACCCCAGCCCCACGTCAGCAGCCTTCTTCCAAATTGCAAAGCTGATCCCAAAGCAGTTAGCTCTGGCACCTCAGTCACCTGGGCCATCTCCTCTCTTTCAGGCACACATAGAGATGGTGTTTGTCTTATAACAGAAACAGAAAGCCTGTCATTTTCCTGGCTTGTCTCCTGATATTGCTTCTCATCCTGCTCCATAATTGTTTCTATCACCCATCCAAAGCAAAAAGAAAAAAAAAAGCACATAAAAGGGATTGATTTAGATGTGACAGGGAACAAGTCGAACATCATTGTGGGGAGACGTTGAGTGTGTCTCATTATCACCTCCTAAACAGAGCTAAAAATGAGCCTTCCACCATGTTCCAGCATAGCCATCCATTGTGGTGAGGACCCAACCACAGATCAAGTCTGGAAGAGTCCGCAGAGATGTCACAAGGCAAGGAGGAGACTGGGGCTGAGCCACAGTTGGGGAACTTGGCTCTGCTCCTAGTGCCATGGCGCTGTCACTTGGTAAGTCAAACACGGAAGGACTGACTGCTTAGCGTCGGTTTTCACCATACACCCTCAACCTTCCTCGACCAATAGGAAGGGTATGTGGGTAGGGGATGGCTCATGGAACATGGAATCAGGAAGACCTGGGTGCAAATCCCAGCTCTGCTGCTCCTGTATGCCCATAGACAAGTCACAAGACCTTTCTGAACCTCAGTTTCCTAATATGTAAAATGAGAACAGTTCTACTGTTGTGTTTACCTCACAGTGCTGGGCACGTAATCAGCACTTAGTAAATGTTTGCTTCCTTCCTTCCTTCCTCACAGGATTTCTGTGAGGCTCAAATGGGCAACTAGGTGGCACAGTGGCTAGAGGCTAGGCATGGAGACAAAAAGACCCGAGTTCAAATCCAGCCTCAGACACTCACTAAAAGTGGGATCCTGAGATCTTCATCTCTGTCTGCCTCAGTTTCCTCCTCATCTGGGATAATAATTGCACTTAGCTTCTGGGGTTGTCACGAGGATCAAATAGGATAATATTTAAGAAGTGTAATAATATAAGTGCTAGCTAATATTATTAATGTTTTAAAATACATTACAACTTAGAGAAATGTAGGTTACTATTATTGGTATTATTTCCACTGCCAAGAAAAGCAGGGCCACAAGAAACCCCTGCCATGACCTACTGCCTTAGGTCCTTGAGAAGTGGGTCTCCTTCTGCCATCCCTGCCACCTGCCGGCTCCTGTTCACCTTTGGGCAAGCATGCGGCTCCTGCCTGCAGTGGCCCCGCTGCCCCTATTACTCACAAGGATGTTGAGGGAAGCTGAGGCTGCAATGAACCCAGCCTTCCATTTCCACACATGTGGGGAACCTATATTTCCTAAAAATGATCATGAGGTCCTCCCCCCAAACTGCGAATCTGCTGCTATCCAAATGAAATGTAACCATCACTAATGTGGTTGAGGCTAAGCAAACCACAACCTGAGCTACCCACAATAGAGAAGGTTTATCAAATAATGATTCTAGAATACTCTACTCTAAATACTAGAGTATCTAGAGTACTGGTAGAGTATATCCTGGTATGGTATGGTAGGGTATGGTATGGTATGGTATGGTGTGGTGTGGTGTGGTGTGGTGTGGCGTGGCGTGGCATGGTATAGTATAGTATATCTATCTATCTATCTATCTATCTATCTATCTATCTATCTATCTATCTATCTATATAGTATATACTAGTATAGTATACTTGTAGCATCTAGATACTCAAAACAAGCCCAAGGCATTCCTTTTCACTCCATGAATTTGATGCTTCTGGTGGGGTAATAGACAGAAGATTGGTCTTGGAGTCAGAAAGACCTGAGTTCAAATCTTGCCTTTGACATATGCTAGCTAGGGTCCCTAGGCAAATGACTTAACCCTTCAGTGCCCTGGGCAGCACACACAGACTGATCTACATATCAGTTGTAGATCAGTTAGCCAGACAGGCAATAAACATTTATTAAGTGCCTGCTATGTGCCAGGCACTTTGCTAAATGCTAGGGTTACACATATGACAAAAAAGACAATTCCTGTCCTTAGGGGTAATGGGGAAAGGAAACAGTTCAGAAAGGGGCCCAAAAGTGCCATGATGGAGACCTTCAAAGGAGGGAACCTGGGAGGGAAATGAAGAGATAGCTGGGCTGAGCACTCTCCTCAAAGGGAGGTTTGGGAGGAGCTCTCCTCTCCACCCTCCGATCAGAGGCATGAGCACAGAGGCTGATGGGACCTTGCAGCATGAGGAGGATCTGCCTCGACAGAGAGACTTTCCATATTGGAGGTTTTTTAAACTAATGAAAGCACAGGCTTAAACAAATAGGGATGTTAGAAAGGAGAGAAATGGGAGACAGAGACAGACAGAGAAGGACAAAGAGAGAGGAGGGGAATGGGGGAAGAAAGAGAGAAAGGAGAAAGAAGGGAAGAGAGAGAGGTGAGAAGCAGAGACAGTAGAGTATAAATGAATGAATGATGCATTTATTAAGCAGTTATATGTGCAAAGCACTCCAGTCCCTGCTCCCCAGAGGCTCCCGTTCTAATGGAAGATAGCACCCAGAAGGTTTCAGCTGCAAGGTCCCCTGGTCCTTAGGGGGCAGCCACAAAGCACATGTTAGCCTTTCTTCTTAAATGTCATTTCTGCTGATAAAATCATATCAGTTTTTGATGTGAAGCCATTTGATGGGGTCAAGGACTTTGGGGCAAGAACATCCCTGCCTAGGTCTTCAGAAGTTGTGGCTCTAGGACCTGCAGGAGTAGTGCCCAGGCTGTCTCCAGAGGGGCTGCTTCCCAGAAGGATGGCTGAGGGCACTGGACTGGAAGCAGTCTGACTGCTAAGACTCTTGTGGTCAGGGTCCTGGGCTGGCCTCCCCAGAGTCTGAGACCAGCTGGTGCTCAAGGTGGTGATGCCAACCTGCCTGGTACATGCTGCCTCCTCTCTCTCCCTCAGGGTGCCTAGCTGCTTTTGCTAGGCTGGCTTGTCTGTCCTGGGCATGGCAGCTGGTGTGGCTAGCCCTTTCTGCACAGAGGCTGCTTCCTTAGATGATGTCTGGGGGGTGGGGCTGGAAGCCTGCAGGACCTGTGATCTGGGAGATGCTGCCTCTCCCAGGGCTCCTGCGCCTCTCTGCCTTGTGGGGGGAGCTGCTCAGCAGACCTAGCTGATGGTGATGAAAAAGCCGGGTCCCCTCTCCACCCTGATTTCTACCCTCAGTGAGAAGAAAAAAAGAGAGGAAGGAAGGAAGGAAGGAAGGAAGAAGGAAGGAAGGAAGGAAGGAAGGAAGGAAGGAAGGAAGGAAGGAAGGAAGGAAGGAAGGAAGGAAGGAGGAAGGAGGGAAGGAAGGAAGGAAGGAAGGAAGGAAGGCAGGAAGGAAGGAAGGAAGGGAGGAAGGAAGGAAGGAAGGAAGAAGGAAGGAAGGAAGGGAGGAAGGAAGGGAAGGAAGGAAGGAAGGAAGGAAGGAAGGAAGGAAGGAAGGAAGGAAGGAAGGAAGGAAGGAAGGAAGGAAGGAAGGAAGGAAGGAGAGCATTATGTAGAGATGTGGCCTCAAAGGCAAGAAGACCCAAGTCCAAGGCCTGCCTTTCCCATCTGCTGGTTTGGTGACCCTGGGCAAGTCACTTAACATCAGAGTACTCTGAACAGCCTTCCAGGACTTCTGGGTGCAGAGTGGATGCTGATAAGCATTGGTAGAGGAACTTTCTCATCTGAGAGTTCCCTATACACAGGAAGTCACAGGTCCCGTTCCTATGAATAGGGATTGTCCTTTGATTTCACTGACATGGGCATGTGTATGTATATGTGTGTGCATGTGTGTGTATGTCTGTGTATATGTCTATGTGTGTGTCTGTATGTCTATGTCTCTGTGTGTATATCTACATGTGTGTATGTGTGTGTATGCCTTTGTGTATATGTATGTGTGTATGTGTATGTCTGTGTGTGTGTGTGTGTGTGTGTGTGTGTGTGTGTGTGTGTGTGTATGAAAGGGAGGGAGGGACAGAGAGAGACAGGAAAAGAAAGGCAGAGAGAAAAAGAGATAGAGACAGAAAGGGACAAAAATAAAAATTTAAGCTTTAGTAGCTTAAACCTGTGCTAAAGGAGGGAACCAACATGCACACATACATGAATATATACGTACATGTAAATATGCACGTGTGAATAGATATTTATATACACACACATATACACATGCATGTGTGTGTGTGCTCATGCACATGAAGGCACTTCATCCCGGTGTGGAGGTGACCCTCAATTCTTGGCAGCTAAGCCAGCAGAGCACAAACTTGGGAAGCTCTGACACCCGTATAGAACACCTTGGCAGACCCAAGGATGGTCTGCCATCATCTAAGGACCAACTGAGAAAAGTCTGAAGAGGATCACCCCTGAGGTAACCAAGGGAGGATGGATTTGGGGCACAGCAACTGTGAAGGAGCCCCTCCTGAAGAGGGGAATGAGCGGAATGAGGAGAATAATTCACGTTATCCACAAAGGAAATGACTTTGAAAGGCAACCCTGAGCAGCACTTGACCGCTGTGACTTCTGACGTCGGAGGCTAAAGGCTGCCTCCCTTGTCTGGCAGAGGGGAGGGCCTGAAGGTGAAGATGGAGCTGCCGTTTTCAGGCACAGCCAATGGGTAACTTTGTTCTGCTCAATTATACTTAGTTATAAAGAAGCCAATGTTCCCAGGGAGTGGTGGAAAGGCGAGGCAAGGGGGCTGTGATATGGGGATATTAGTAGCACTTCCTTCCCAGGGCTGTTGTGAGGATTTAATGGCATGATATGTGCAAAGTGCTTTGTGAACCTGAAGATGCTAAATAAATGCTAGCTATTATTATTGTTGTTGATGATATTAAAAAAAAACAAGCATGTGAAAGAAGTTAACACTTTCCCATATAAATACAACAAGATATTTATGTTTGCGGATGATTGTTAAGTTCATAATAAAAAGAAAACTGTTTTAATTATACAACCACACTGATCCAAACCATAGACCCACACATACTGAAGTATTATGAAATAAAACTATGGCCTTAACTCATAAATATCCCATCATTATTGATACATATGAAGCTATACATTTATTCTATTTATATTTTTTTAAATGAGAAAGGAATAGGGCAAGGGATGGAGGAGGGAGGGAAGGAAAGAAGGAAGGAGATTGGAAGGAAGGGAGGGAGGGAGGGATGGGAAAGGAGAGACAGGAGAGAATATAATGATAACCTATGCTATTAGGGGAAATTTCTTTAATGAACTCATAATTCCAGTGATAATAATGTCTTTCCTTAGTGAATAAATGTTATGACAAAAGAATGGAGACATAGTATAATCATACCTGGGAAGCAGTATGTTCTAGGTATGGATTTGAAATTCTTCTTGCCAGAGCCTATATTTTAAAAGGAAAAAACAAGAGATTAGGAGAACCATCTTTGTACCCAAAGAAAAGGACAAATTGTAGGAGAGGAGAGAAAGCACGTCAGCTTCGTTCCCAGAATGTGAGTTTCTGCCACCTGGATCCCCTGGCACTGATAGCACCCTTTCTAACGCCTTGGTAGGCATTGAACCAATGTCTGCAATCACAGACAGCACCGAGGACATCTTGCCAGGTTAACATGACAGGCACAGGAATTAAAAAGTCAAAAGCCAAGATGCAGGTATGTATGCACACACACAGGCATGTGTCTGTTGATTCCCTGTCTGTACATTCCCACTCAGAGGACACTGATCTAACCTCCTTTCACCTCAGAGTTAGATCATTCCCAAAATCAGACTTGCAGAATGGCCAGAGATCTCTGAGATCCTCAGAATAACAGCTCGCACTGTGAGCGTGCCTTAAGGTTCGCAAGGCACTCAACATACAGGTCTCTTTGAGCCTCTCATAAATGCTAGCTAATATTATTAATGTTTTAAAATGCATAACAACTTAGAGAAATGTAGGTGAGTAGTATTGGTATCATTTCCACTGCCAAAGAAAGCAGGGCCACGAGAATGTGAAAGGATGCTCTTGTGTCCATTTTATAGATGAAGAAACAATAGCACCAAGAAGTCGCTTGAGTCACCCAGGGTCTCATGGCTCTTGTGTGGCAGAAGTGAGATTCCAACCAGCATCTCCACGATCTGCACTTCTGCCCATGACACCAGGCTGACAGCATCCAGACAACTCTTCACCTAAACAGCCACATCTTCTCCATCTGCCCTAGCAAAGACCTCAAAGGAGGGAGAAGCCACCCCCTTGCCAGCAGCCCATCCCACTCTTGGACGGCACTCATGCTTCACATCAAGATTCCAGCTGCCTCCCACTGAATTCTAGAAGCAGGAGGCCATCCATCTCCTCACCTCCAGTTGGTTTACCCAGGAACACAGGCATCCACCCTAACAGAGCCACATTCAGAATCTGAAAACTCTAACTTTAAGACCCAACTTTGAGGATTCCCCACAACCTAGAGTCCAGTGCCGGCTCCCCAGCCCAACGCTCAAGGTGCCCTGCAACCCGGGTCCTGCTATTCCAGCTGTTGTCTCCTCCACCCTTGCCCTCTCAGCTCCAAGAGCTTTTCTCTCTCCTCTTCACTGAATCGGAATCCCAGCCATCCTCCACATCCCAGTGTTAATCCAACCACAGGGATCTTTTCCTTCTCATTCTTGAAGCAGCCATCATCTGGGCCTCTTCCTTAACACAGCATTTGTCCCTGTGCTAATTAAACACCCTTGTACAAAGGCATGGATGGCACACTTATCACATTTGTAAGGGACACTAAGTTGAGAGGGAGAACTAACGTATTCGATGACTGAGCCCAGATTGCAACAGGCTGAGCCAGTGCTGGGGAGACAAATCACATTTGACAGAGAAAAAAAAATGTAAAGTATTACCCTTGGGTGCAAAAAGTCAGGAGGTGTGACTGGACACCCAGTTGTCTGAAAAACAGTGAACCGACAACACTATATGATGTCACAGTGTGACAGAACACCTGAAGAGTCACTGGCATCTCAGCCTGAATTAAGAGAGACATCAGGTCTAGAACAAGGGAGGTGATAAGCCCTTGGCACTCTGCCCTGGTATTGCGTTCAATTCTGGGCACCACATTTTAGGGAGGATGTTCATAAGATGGTGAATGTTGAGGGGATGGCAGCCCTGGATGAAGAAGGACCTTGAGCCCAGCATCATCATCACCATCAATACCCCCAACAAGCCGTAAGCACCTACTCTGTGCAAGGCACTGTGCTAAGCACTCAAGATAAAAAGAAAGGCAGTAAGTTGTGTAAGCACTGTGCATATAGGAGACAGAGACAGTGTAAATGTGAGGCAATCTCAGAGTCCAGGCCCTACGAGGATGGGTTGAAGGAACCAAGGATGTTCCACCTGGAGAAGAGACTTGGGGGCATTTGAGAGCTGCCTTTGAGGACTGGAGAGGGGGAGGAGGCTGGACTTAGTTCTGCCTGGGGCCAAGCAGGATGAGGATGAAGGGCAGACATTACAAAGACAACAACCTAGACTCGATATGAGGAAAAACTCCCTAACAATCAGAGCTATCCCAGGGTGGAATGGGCTTCCTAAGGAGCCAATGACTCTCTCTTCCCTGAAAGACTTCAGGCAAAGACTGGATGCCTGATTACTGGCAATAATTGGGTGAGATATAAAAGGGATTCTTGTCTGGTATGGATTGGGTGAGATGGCCCTTCGGGTCCCTTCCAATCCTAAGACTCTGGCATCCTTCCTGCTCCACCCCCTGCTGCCCAGCTCTCCCACGGAGGTCCTGTCTTTGAGAATCTCAGAGCTATTCACTCTGAAAAGTTGACGAGGATCCTTAGACAGCCACTTTCCAAAAGGCTCCAATGATGATGGCACTGTCTTAGGATAGAATAGTCCTTTCCATTCCCCAAAACGTTGCTATCCTGCCCTTCGGTTGAGATTTTTATTTGCCTCCTGATTCTATGTGGTAGCTTGCTCTGTTTGGAAAGAGAAGGGAATAAGCATTTATGTAATACCTGCTATATGCCTGGTGCTGTGCTAAGTATCTCATTTGATCCACACAACATGTGAGGAAGCACTATTATTATCTCCATTTTATAATTCAGGAAACTGAGGCAAACAGAAGTTAAGGGACTTTACACAGCTAGTGAATGTTTGAGGCCAGATTTGAACTCAGGTCTTCCTGATTCTAGAGCCAATACTCTCTCCATTGCACTACCAGCAGCTTCTATTTTCTCACTAATTGCACAATTCAAAAAAATAATAATTTGGCCCCACAAACCCAAAGCAAAGTGAAGGCAGATCCCTCTAGGAGAATCGAATATTTTCTCCCTCAGCTAAGAGTCAGGGCACCGCTAGCAATGTGCCCCGTGTGCAATGAGTCACAACCACCCTCTTGATTGACCCATAATTTCTGGAAGGTCCACTGAAAAGTCCACATCTCTGAGAACATTGGTGAGCACGGGACAGAGGATGTGAATGTAACATAGGAACTCTTTCACTGAAGACAACAAATGCTTTTGCCTCTTTTGCTGGGTCCTGCCTGAGCCAACCTGGATAAACCAACACTAGAGTTACACTTTACACAATCAAATTTCACCGTGGTTGCCTGATTGATGGGTGATCTCCTAAGTTTTGTAAGGCGAGTAAGTAAAGCAGGGAAATCTGTCCATACTGACTAGATAGCAGCCCTAGATACACTCTGAGCCAAATGGTATCAATAGCAATGGAATAAGGCTGGCTTTGACATAACAAAATAAGGCAAGTCTGTGGTCTGTCTCCCGGCTCCTGCCGAAGCTGGTACCTGGGCTGGTCGCAAACTCTCAGTCACACAGGGATAGGGTATGAGCATTAACCTCCAGCCACACCAGTAACATGAGGATCCACTTCCCTCATGGCCACACTTTACTATTTAAATATCAGAGCCAGCAGGAACCAGGGATCTTCTTTCAATTTTTCCCCCTTCTGTTATCTCATCTTTTTTAATGTGATTTCTCCTTTCAGCAGCTCATCGACTCATCTCAACACTTCTCTGGGGCCATTGTTAAATTCTGATGGGATCTATCAGATGACCCAGAGTATTTTAAACCAGTAACTTCTGCACCCAGATCCTTGTCCTTTTGCTCTAAAGCCTTGCATGATTCATACCCAGCCCGCCACAAATCAAGGTTTGGAACCACTTTGTGCAACCTGTTGACTTTCTTGGAGGGCTATCTCTCTAAATCTGGGGTTCTTAACCTAGGATCCATCACAAGATTTCAGGGGGCCTGTGGACTTGGATGAGGAAAAAAAATCACATCTTTCTTTTCACTAACTGAAATGCAGCATTTCCTTCCATGGTTCTGAGAAGGACCCAGTGGGGTTCACCAGCCTGCCAAATGGGTCTATGACCCCCAAACAGTTAAGGAGCCCTGCTCTACACAGAATTCTCCAAAACTGTGGTAATTATCTCATCATGGTCACAGAATTACAGTTTTAAGAACAGAGAGACTCTCTAAAGGACCCCCCTCCCCCATCACCATAATGAGCTTGATATGATTATATTTGGTGAATAGCACAGGAGATAAAGATGCTCACAGACGACAGGCTGGCCACATGAAGGAGTGTGGACTTTAATTCAAGTCTTTGCCCTCTTTTCAATTACAATGCATTTAGGAAAACGTTCTAAGAAGAGTCCATGCACATTGTAAATGCCCATGAAGTTGTTTGTCTTTTAATGATTATAAAAGTATGGTCCATATTGAATGTGAATCTATAATTTTGCATCTCTTTCAGAATTGCAAGTAAAAAGAAAATTCAGTCACAGCCTTCCATTGTTGGAAAACAGCAATGCCACCCATGATTTTCTCGAAATTATAGTACCATTTAAAACTGCGAATGATCACCAGCCTTCCCTTGAGGGTCTCTGCATTGAAATTCCTCGTGTGTGGCAAAAACTCCTATTTCAATAGGTTTACAGAGATTTTCCTCACAATAACCCTGAGGGACAGGGAGGAAATACTGTTTTTTTCCCATTTTATAGAAGGAAAAAAAGAGATTGAGAACAGAAGTGACTTGCCAGAGCTATTAAATGTCAAAGCCTGAACTCAAACCTGGTTCTCTTGACTTTGCAAGTCACATGACCCCCATTGTCTCTGAAACAAACAAAAATAAGTCCAGTGTTATTTCCACTAAAATCTACCCTGCTTCTGACAATGATCAGAGGAGCTCAAGTTTGGATCTGGTAAGGACTTTAGAAGCCACTGAGTCCAGCCCTATCAAGGAAACTGAGGCCAAAAAGGTTATGTGACTTATCCAAGGATTGAAACGCAGAAAGTGCAAGAGGTGGAATTTGAACCCAGGTCCTCTGACCAGAGGCCAAAGACAGTACTGCTTCTACTTCACCCATTTCTATGAGACTTTCAAGCTTCCTTCCCTCA